ATCAATTCGCAGCAACACAAGTACAGACATGGTCCGTTTCATGGCGGAGGTTGGTCCAGGGGGGGGGGGCTACCATATATGTATATATAGGTGTATGTTTTCATTTAAGCATATGTGTACATATATGTTGATATACGCATATATATATATGTGTATATTACACTATGTATATATATATATACATACAGAAGCATACAAGTGTGTATATATATGTATATACATATATATATATTTATTTATTTGTTTATTTATTTATGTATTTATATATAACAGTATACACTATATATATATATATATATACACCCACAGTCAACGGCACACTGCGGGAGGACACAAGAACGAAGCTGCGAACTCAAGGGCAACGGAGTCACATTATTCCGATGCCATACCAGCGAACCCGGAAAACAACCACGGAAACACCTGAGCAAACTCCTGGGGCCATGGCGCACCCGCCTTGGCCTCCTCTCCGAGGCGTCGCAGGAGGACCTTTGGCTGGATCTGGGGTCCCAGAGGCTTCTTTGTGATGTGTGGGGTGTCGGTTCTCGTGGAGGGTCGGAGGCTGACATCTGGCAGCTGGACTTGCTGTGCATGGTAGGGTGCCCGCTTCTGTCTGCGAAGCATGAACCCAGAAGCCAATCTTGTCTGGTACACTCTAGAAGCAGAGAACCCAACAAGTAAACGCAGTTGTCTCCGGTGGCTCAGCAGCTAGACCAAGGCATTGCAGCATCAAGCGTCATTCTCAGAGAAGGAGATTTGGCCAAGGGAGGTTTGACTGCGGCTTCTGGATCCTGCACCAGGACTCTTGAACACTTTTCCCAGGGGGCCACTGCACAAGCCAAAGACGCATTTCCGATGGAGAATGAAGGGCCTAAGAACAGCTTTATGTAGGCTTCGGGCATTGCAGCAGATCTTCACATCAAAGGAAGGCTTGGAGTTCTTGATGACCTCCAGGGCCGCCTCGAAATGGCAAGTCCACAGGGCCAAGGCCTCCCAACCTGGGCTTGAAAAGCTCTTTTATCGCGGATTCAAAAGATGGTGGGCCTGCAAATGCATCTCAGCATCCTGGCGGGATGTCAGGAGTGGAGACAGCAGGTGCTTCCGGGCATCGCCGTTAGAAAACATCTTAACTTTCTTACTTGGTTGTGCGAGCTTCCGTTGGAGGCACCTGCTGACACATTAGCGGAAGAGTCGGGAACTTCGCCGGACTTGTGCCGCGCTCGGACTCTTTGAGTACCGGGTCGGGGTGAGGTGGCTGTGGCTGTGGCTATGACATTAAACACTTCTATGAGCTTCCCTCCCACTGAAGGTGGGAAGGTCTGCTTGCTGCATCGCAAGACACAAAATAGATCTCTCGCTTTGTGCACCCAAATGACCATGAAGGACTTGCTTCATCTGATGGTTCAAACCCACGGCTGCTGCATCCCAAACACGAGACCTTAAGTCCTAGCATGGCCACTAAGAAAGACAAATCATGCCAAATTCTTATGTTGCAATCTTCAACCACAGAGTTGCAAGCGAGGGCTAGTAAGGAGCCATAACACAAAAAGAACAACACTGTGCAAAGCTGACTGATGACACAAGAACCAAAGCGACCATGCAGTGGTCATGATGCAATGTTTAGAGCACGTGTAGACCGAATAAATTCAAACTCCTTAAGGGAGAACCGTGGACATCACATCAGCAGCCGCTCCGCAGCGGTAGTGTTTTGACAGCGCCTCCGGAAGCTACCATGGGCGCATGGCTTCGATACATACATAGAGAGAGAGAGAGAGAGTGTGTGTGTGTGTGTGCGTACTACTGTACATGTACGTCTGGCCGGCCTGGTGGGAAGCGTGCACTTCCTGGCAGGAAGCTGCGCGAAGGGGCAGCCACCTTTGGGCCATCTGTAGGGCCTGTAGGGCCAGTGGACCTGTGGCCGGTGGACAGACTTTGACTTCTCTAGGAGCAGCTGTGAAACCTCGAACTCGATCGCCGGGTATTGGCAAGGCGCTCTCCTGGCGTTGCACGAAAACTGGTCCTTCGAAAGGATCTGACGAGGGATGCCGCCAAACGCAGTCCTGCCATATCGAGCCAGACCTGAGCATGCCTATGGCCGATTGTGAACAGTGTACGTCTTGATGGCACTGCGAAGCAACTGGAGTTTTGATACCCCGGCAGTAAGGCCCGGTCGTCTTTGAGGGATGTCCAGGTCTGGGACTTGTGCGTCAAGCTTGTCGTCACTCGGCCGTGTAGGCGAGGAAGTGAAATGCTTGGCTGCACCACGTCAGGACGACTCTGATTGTCTCTTGTGGACCATCGTGTGCTGGGAACATAACTATGGCGCCTGTCGTCGGCACTTGTTGTGTGTCTGGCGTCGTTGCTTGTCGGACGGGCGCGATAGAAGTTGGTGTCTGTTTTGGCTCCAGTGGGTGGAAAGTGAGGTGTTGCAGGGGAATCCATGAGAAAGGCACCTGTACCTTTCGGTGCATTCCGAAGTTGGTGAAGTTGGCTGCTCTCCTTGGGAGATGTGAAACCGGCCACATTCGCGGCACTGAAAATTGCGTTGCCCTGCACGCATCCGAAAGCGTAGCCTTGAAAATCTGCGTCGCTGCAAGGGCAGACGGTGGCACTCGGCCGCCGAGGCCGGTGCGCTGCGTGCGCTGCGTGCGGTGCGCCTCCCGGCTGCCGGGATGGCTCTTGCAGACTCCTCTCCGGGGAGGCGGAGGCCGAGGCGGACCGGGATGGTGGCAGGTCCACTCGGTCCACTCGGAGTCTCGGGGTGTTGGGGACGCCGAGGCTCTGTGGGGGCGGACTTTGCAATCTGGAGCCCACCGCGACCTTCTGACCAGTGCATCTCTTCTTTGAACTCGGAGCTTTGACGGCACAAGCTGTGAGTGCACCCGCCTTGTTGGTGTTCAGCTGCTCCAAAGCCGAAAAGCGACGGACTGCGGGCCTTGGGAGGTTCTTGAAGTCTTGGGGCTTCTCCAAAGAGTTCTCTGCGGCGGGCTGGGAAGTTCGCGTCGTTGAGATGGCTGCTACATTCTATCTGTGGCCGCCGGCCGGTCTTTTTTCCACACCTGAGGAGCGTGCGATGGCGATGGCAGTCGGGAGCCTGTCTGCGGTGCTTGCGGCTGCGCCTGGGGGATCACAGAGCAAAGCAGGAATGCAGAGCTGGGGTGAAGTACAGAAGCTCACAGAAGGCGACACGTGCATGAGGGCATCGCGGCTGCGGCAGTAACAAGGAAGTCGAAGGCCGCAAAGACCTGTCAGAAAAGCAGCTGAGAAGATGAGTCACATTGCAGGATTTTCGCAAGGTCCACCTCCTTCCCGACGGTCCTGTTCTCAGCCTTCTCGAGGTACTCCCGTTTCTTTCGCTTCAATTCGGCATCCTCGAGCAGGAAAAACCACAGAAGGAGCTGCGGGGGGAGCGGGTTCTGGGGCTTGGTCTGTACCCTCTGACTCGGCGGGAAGCCGCATGAATGAATGTATCTGATTACAATCTATTCTCTTGGGTCTCTGGTCTATGACAAATACAGCAAGTGGTGTGCCAAGCAATGTTCCACTGAAGCACCGCCGCGGGAGAGTTTATGACATTCTATGCATTCGCTGCTTTGTGCCATAACCGGTGCTGGCCACCACAAGCGCCAGAGCGGTCCCACCTGGCTCAGGATCTGCCATCTTGGCAACTTCCTTTTGGCCAGCAGCTGGTAGGGAAGCAAGAAGTCAGGAACCTCTTCAGAGCCCTTCTCACCTGAGGCCGGCTGCAAAACAGCGACGTTACGAAACACCGCATGCCCGGAGTTCCACAGTTCAGAAGGGAGGCCAAGAAGACCCTCTTCCGGTAACCCATGCTTCTGTCTGAGCTTCAGCAGCTGCTCCTGCGAGGGCGGCCCTTGACCCTCCCTCAAGCCCCGGAGTCTGGTCCTTACGACTCTCACGCGTCTCATAAGTGGCACTGAGCATCCGACCTTGAGCAGCCGGATCGTCTCGTTGGCAAGATCCAACTTCGTCGCCAGATCGCGGACCTACACAGAGGACCAAGGAAAACGGGATGCCTTCGAAATCCGAAACCTGCTAAACTGATATGCCCCAACGTCGCAGCCCCTCCTGTTCCGACAGTTCTGAGGGCTCGATCTCACAGGACTTCTGTGGGCGTCTCCCGCTAGTCGAACTCAACGGACTGGCTGGACTCGATGGGCTGAACGGACTTCCCCGCAAGTCGGTGATCTCGGTCCCCGCCCCAGAGGAAAATGCCGCGGCCGCAAGGAAACCCTCCGTCCTCGAGCAGAAGAGCAGCAGGAGTCATGAGCCACATCCCCACAACTGCCAGTACTATCATGTAATTCTCTCCGCACTTCTCATGCATGTGGCTTGTCCTCCCGGAGTCTGGTCGCGTCCGATGGGTGCCAGTGCCGCTGGCTGAAGGGCTGTGCTCCGGCTCCACCGACAGCGGCTCCTACACGAATGGAAGGAGCGGCATCGACTGCGAGAGAGGATAAAGCAAGTCGTCGTCTATGCTAAGCGCTTCCACTTCCGTGCTCCTCCGGATCAGCAGTTGGAGCCATGGAGTTGGTTTCCAGCTCATCACAGCGCTGCTTCAGCTGCTGCATCTCTACGGCAACGTCTTGCACAGTAGAGGGAAGAGCGACTACCAAGGAGTCCAACCTGGAGAGTGCGGCCCTGAACGAGCCCGCGACGCTATCCGTTTCGTCCTCCAAATCCCACAGGTCGTCCATGGACAGCGCCCTCCGCCCATTCTCGTCGTCTCCGGGTCCGCCGGGTCCCAGTGTCTGCAAGCTCTCACTGATCTTGTGTACGCTGCGAACCATGCGGTTTTTCATTCGCTCCAGCTCTGGCTCTAACTCTCGGGTCTCGCGGAGCTCCGCAGCCAAGGTCTCCCTTTCCCTCTCGAGCTCCGAGACGCGGCGCTGGAGTTGCCCCGCACGCTCCTCGGCCCGCTCGCGCTCCTCCGCCGCGCGCTGAGCCTTCTCCTGCTCCAAGCGAGCGTCGATAGCCGCAGAAAGCTTCGAACGAAGCTCCAGGAGCTCGGCCTAGGCACACGCTGCTATATTCAAAATGCAGACGCGGGCTACATTCTGGCAGAAACGAGCTGTCGGCCCAGCCTCTTGCTGCTGCGCCTGGCTGCGGAGATCCGCCAGCTCATCAAGACCAGCTGCATCCACAGCGGCTCCTGTGAGCCCAGGTCCAGTCGCAGCGCTGTCCTCCTGACTTCCTGCCTCGGTGACACCTGCCACTGTCGCCGCCGGCTGGGACTCCACCGGAGGCATAGCCATGCCAATCAGATCACAGGCCGCTTCCTTGAACTTTTTCATTTCGGCTCGGGTCCGGAGCAAATTATAGAGCTCGACCATGATCTGGGCGGCAGCATGCTTCAGCTTCAGCCTCTTCAAGACCGTCGGCAAAGAAGCTTTTTCAAAGAGGTTCATCTCCTGGTTGCACAGCACCCGCCGAGTGTTTCAGACTGGAAGCACGAGTGACGAGATGCTTCTTCTAAAATTCTAAAACGCATGGTGCCACGCACTCCTGAAGCGTGGACTTCAGTTGGCGGTTCCTCAGGAGCGGCACATGGCAGCAGCACAGTGTCGGACGCCTAGCTGCACCAAGGCACTCGTCCAGCAGCCGCCTGTTCGTCTCACGGACGCACCGTACGAGGAAGTCCCTGCACAGCGAATCAGAGATTATCTGAATCATACATGAATACCTTTAACACCAAATGACCACGCATGCTCGGTTATTCGTCTGCGATCGAACATTTCGCATATAGGAGCATATTCGGGCCAGTTTCGGGGTGAAGGTGTCGAGACAGCTCAGAACTCGGGGTTGCAATTGGAATCTGAGTCACACGTTCGCGGCAACGGCCTCGTATCCTCATCGAGGAACTTCTCCGGCTCAAACCAATAGACCTTCCAAGTTAGCTACTCCAACTGGAGCTTTCAGAATCTCAGAAAGTAGGAGACCCCAATGTACAACCTATGTCGTAGCATCCTCATTCTCGGGGAGCTACTCTCTCTCACGGCCTCGAAGTCGTCGGGGGTCAGGAGGTTCCGGCGAGCTGCTGCATCTTCTTCGCTTTCATAAGCGAGGTAGAGCCTCGGCCAAGAGCTGGGTGTAGGGCTTAGCAATCAGGATTTAGAGCATACTTTAGGGTAGGGGTTTGGGGAAACAAGACCAACAGTAAACCATGTCCAAGACAATCTAAGATTCAGACCTTTGGGAATTTAATTTCCAGATTTGGGGGGTTTTGTACCACGCCGTCAGGTCGTGGTCTTAGATCCCCTCCTACCTTTTTAGGGTTCCTTCATATGATATCCATATATGAACCATTAATTGTAAAGGAGACTTCTGGAGCCGAACAAGCACCTGAAACTGCTTCAAGATTAGGGGCATTTTGCGCCATTTTGGAGCCGAGCAAACAAGTGAGAGTGAAGGTTTGGGAATTGGGTTTTCTTCTGTGGCTGAGCTTAGGCCTATGAGTAGGCGTGACTCCACTTCGTCGTCCAGTGCCGGAACCCCTGATCCTGTTTCTACGTACCTGTCGGGTCCAGCCCCGTCGACGCTGGAGATGGTTGCGGAGGAGCCGCGACGTGAGTGCGAGCATATGGGTGTTCAAACGGATACCCTGCCCAGATGGCGACATCGGCTCCACCACAGCCAAACGTTTTTCATAGCCCGAACAGGGGAGAAGGTTCATCTTACGGTCGAATGTCATGGGCTTAGGAACGTTACTAGTCCCCCCGAGGCTAGGGGCTTCTGTCAGTTTTGTTTTGGTTCACCTGAGAACCTGATTCCTGGGTGACCTTCCGCTTTCATGTAAGACCAGGACGGTCGCGGAGCGATGGTCTTGAGGAGGGGTGTTGAATGGCACCTGTTTGGTATGGATGCGGAGGTCCCAGGGCTATGCGAGGTGTTGTGCATGCGTGGATTCCTGTTGGCTCGAGTGATGTCACTTGAGTACAGGTGTCTGCGGTGGGCCCTAGGCCAGTCTTTGGTCCGGAGGACCGGTGTAGTAAACGGGCATGTTGCCTTTAGCCTTATGGCATTGCCAGGTTAAGGCGTGTTGATGTTGTAGCTAGAGAGGGCTACAGCACCGACAGTCTGTACTTCTGTAAAGAGGCCTGAGGCCGCTATGTAGAGATCTCACAGGTTGTCCATGTCGTTTGGCTGCGGTTTCCTTGGGGTGTTAGGCTTAGGCGTGACTTTAAATTCGCTTGCCATGGACCCTGACGAAAGTCAAGAAAGGGAAGCAGCTGGTGACGGCACTGGGCTAACAATCGAACCCACGAAGTCATTGGATGCAAAAATCGGTGACCTATAGCGACAGGTTGGGGAACTTCAGAACTTGGGTGCTGGCGTTCATGATGTGGGAAAGGGACGTTTCTCTTCAGCTAGCAACCATCCTGGAGCCTCAACCGAGCTCCAAAACCTTAAACCCTAAACCCTACCTGGATCCTGAAAAATGGCCGAGCTGTAAGTAGGGCTTGGGGCTGGACTTCTGGAGTAAGGCTAGGGGAGTAAGGTCTACCTAGACCCCCAGTCGTAATACAAATTTGTACTAAGGAAAAACCCTGTTCGTCTGCATGTGAAAGTGCTCGTTTCGGCAAAAAGAGCGCGAATCAAAAAAAGACATGCAGGCCTATGCATGCAGCCATTCTATTTCTGATCCCAGGCTGGACATTCAATTTCCTCATTTTCTCTGTGTCAAGCACAAGGTCAAGTGACATTGGCACTGCACAGGAGCCACAGGTACCGCTCTCTCGGGTTTGGGGCTTCAGGTTAAACACACGTCATCATCCAGGCTGCAGCTCGATAGCAGTCTTGCGATAGCTTCAAAGATGCATGGCCGGGGAATTGCGCGTGGTTGTACTCAGAAGACTCCCTCAAAAAAAAAAACCGTCACTAAGCACGACACCGTATAAACTATATATGTGGACCCTCACTATGACTTACGGCATTGAACCCCAAGCCCTTGACACCCTAAAACTTTACAGCTCGAAAGCCCTAAAACCCCTAGAGCCCTAAACCATGGCCCATCCTGAACTTGGCGCGGTCCCCTCCCGACATCCGTGTCAACTACAGTTTTGCGTGCCTTTCACAAATCGGCCCATTGCTGCCAGGCCTCACAACAAAGCAGCACGTGCCTACGCGGGGAAAAAAACGTCACGGATTCACAACAGTCAGGCGGCTACGTATGCCAATACGCACCTTCTGAATAGGTAAGCGTTGCCGCAAAAGTGGATAATCTGATGTCGGCACGCGTCCCAAGGCCGGACTACTTGCGTTTTTTTGGTTGTCGAATAGGCTGGCCTTCAAACGTTAGCCGGATGTTGGCAAGAGAAATTTCAAGACAGGTCATGAAAAAGGACAGATGCACGAAAGACGCCAAATGCTTGCAATCTTAAGCCATAAGCAGCAACCTGGCCGAGACACTTTTTCATGTAGAGAATGTATCGCTCTTGGCGAACCTCTAGGGGGCTGGCTGACGTCAGTACATGAATCCATCTTCGCTGGTAGTGAGCATGCCTGACTGATCTCATCGCAGAGCGCCGTGAGAGAAGGCAACGGGTCACATGCAGCAGCAGCAGTAGCAGCGCCATGAGCGAGAAGGACTACGAAACATATTACCTTGGATGCGCTGACAAGACTCATA